ACATTAAACAAATGCTGCCTGTCACGTCGTAGGCAGGTCGGCGCTCGCGTCTTCCACCCGCCATACGGAGCTGTGCTGGCGGGACAGACGCTGGGGGGGGGGGGGGGGGGGGGGGGGGGGGGGGGGGGGGGGGGGGGGGGGGGGGGGTGCACATTGAGGACCCCTGTGCCCCCAGCTGTCTGAGCCAGCTAATGACTCGTCTCAGGGGGGCTGTTGTAAGAGAGCAGGGAAATTGAAACAGACGCCTCGGCTAAGAGCTGCTACATGTGTGGCTGTGTGCTGCCATTCAAAACACCAGAGAGCTTAATGTATGTAACAGCACACGCACCAATGTTATGTTTATTAATGTGACGGCAGATAATCAATATGACTATTTTTCAAGTAACGCATGATTATTAATGCTGAAACATTGATGCTAGGGTCTCTCGGCATCAAACAAATTACAGATGGATTTTTTATTTCCCCCAGAAATGTAATTCTTGTAAGCATCAGTTCCTCTCATGATGAATCTGAAGTTAAGTATGGACGTAGCAATGTGTTGTCTCAGGTGTTGTCTCCTATATCTTGCCCATGCTCAAACAATGCGTCCCCGGGCCTCCAGAGCTCCACTCTTCCCTCACGTTATCATCGTCAGTCCCCCGCTGAGCCCATCTCCCTCCTCCAAGACAGCCCCATCTCCCTAAAGGTAATGACCGAATTAGGCCTAATGTTGTACACTGGCTAATGGCACACTGCCGCACATTATAGCATGTGCAACTGGCAACGACAACAGCAATAATCCCTGAGCCCCTTGTCCTCCTGCACTCCACCCCTGGGGCTGGGACGGTGCACGGGGAAATGAATGGAGTTTGCCACACTACAATGAGCTTTTGATGGGAGACAATGGAGGAGGCTGCCAGCACCACACAGGGTGGTAAGAGGAGAGCAATATGGGGCCCATCTACCGGCCCTCCCTTCCCTCCTTCCCCCAGGCCCCTGGCCCCCGCTCCCAGATTCATAATGGCATCCGGAGGGGGAAAGAAGGGAAAGTGATGTCAAATGTCAGGAAATCAGAAAGATGGCAAGCTGACAACCCCCTCCTATCGTCCCATGCCTTCTATCCCTTTGCCCAACGGTAGCACAGGTTAATATCACATTTATAAAATCACTTACAAGAAACAAAGCCGGCTCTTAGCCCCCCTGTCACTCGCAGACAGTCATATGGAGAGCTTTGCTGCGGGCTAACTCAGGTAACCATTTGTTCACTGATGGCCTCATACCTGTCGTCCGTCTATAGCCCGAGTCACACAGTTACTTTTGGAGCACTCACAGCCATTTCCAACTCCACCACTCATTTGTGATGTGTGACAAGTCTGCCCCTGTTTTGCATGAGGTTTAATAATGTCATTCATTATTCATGCTCTGTGTCATTTCACAATCATGCATACCCTCTCCTCACTTTCACTTTAAATGGTCAATCTTGAACATATACACATTTTTATTCCCAGGTAAAAATTGTAAATATTTTCTTGGTGAATCAGCAACATTTCCCAACTGTTTGGAAACTTCAATGATCTGGACTGAACTCATTAGTGGGCATTTAAAAAACAGAAGCAATTTATTTTATGTTATATTAGTTAACAATTATGTTTTTTTTTCTATTTGTCTCTTTTCAGCTAACGGGATGAGTGATCCAACAACTTCCAGCATCGGCAGCGCGACCAGTCCGAAACTCGAGCCACCTCCTTCGCCTCATGCCAACCGCAAGAAACACAGACGGAAAAAGAGCACGGGCATCACAAAGCCAGACGGCTTATCTGCAGGCAATGAAGGTACCAAAAATAAAGTCTCGCTGCTGCTTAATTTTTAAATAACCAAAACTTCTGCAGCAGATTAGGAAATGTTCACGGGTTACGCCTGTGGTCAAACATTCACATTTAAATTTCCAAATCTATCAAGAATAATTAATTTGTAAATCTGTATGTGGAGCGCAAGTAGTAAACTCTTTGTGTTTCAGTTATTTCTATGCATTTATTACTTCTTTGTATTGAACGAAGTGAGTGCAGCCATAAAGCAGCCACTCACTGATTCAGTGATCCACTTTGAAATCAACCCTGACCAGATTCCTCCTCTCATCATGAAAACAAATATCGAATCCTCTATATTCTGACTGGCTTTGTCTGTGAGGTACATAAAGGTATGTAGTTTTGTATCTCCACAGCGGCCCCCTGCTCTGTGCACCGTCACAGCCCCCATCTCTTTTTACTGCTGTATGAATAGCTTGATCTCCAGAAGCCGTTGCCCTTCTCAGCAGGGGAGTGGCAGTCGGCTCTCCACCCAATTAATAATGATTCTCCAGCCCAATGATGAATTGAGTGCCCTAATTGGATGGCATTGTGAAAACACTGAGACGCATTTCAGAGGCCATAAAACTGATGTCACCAGAGCGATGATCAATCAACAAGATTGATACGCTGGATAACAACAACAATGGCATTGACGCCTCCTAAATGGGGCTCAGCATTTATAATCATTATACTTTTTTATCATGGTCTCTGACAGCTGCTCTTTAAAGTATGAATGGGTCTGTTGACCACATTGTTGTTCGGAGCGAACATCATCAGCATCTCGGAGATAAGTGCTGTGAGATAAGTGGTGCTGTGTGAGGCCGGTCCGGCCACACTCCAGCGCTACTGCCCCGAGTTTGTTTGTGATCGAGTTACGCAATTGGTCAGGAAGCCGATGTTTGGGAGTTCCATCATTTACTCTCTCTTTCAAAATGAACTGGCACAAATAGGTTTAATTATCTGACACCGTTTAGTGACTTTTCTTTCCAAAATGGCTTGTTTCCGCAGAAGAGAGTCCTCAGTTTAGACCTAAAAGGAGGCTCCACAAAAACTGCAGCTTTCAGACATGCACTGCTCCCCCTGAACTTTTCTACACTTTACCCAGAGGAGCTTTTTATGTGAACGCAAATGTCCGAATCAGTGGAACCGGACATTAAACAGACTTTGCACTGCCAGCACCCTCACACAAAGTCTGTGAACTGTCTGACTGTGGGCTGACAGAAGTCGGAATGCTAATACAAAACAATGGTGTCGTGAAGTTCTTAACTGGTCAGTTATAGTTCCACAACTTCATCCTTAATTTCACACAATGACCATACACAGTCCAGAAATACACTTTCTGCCTAATCTCTATTAACAGCTATCAGCATATGAATGCACATGAATTAAAAAGCCCTTAGCTCGCCACTCTGACTGATTGTTCAAACTAGACATGAAAACCAGCAGGCTTCACTTGGATTAACCTTTTATAGAGATAAGTAGTTGTAGTTTGTGGTCACGTCAGCATCAGTAGTAGTCGTCATAGTGGGATTGATTATTTACATTTCGATCGTATGTGATGAGTTGCTTTGTAAATTCAGAAGCAGTCTGCAGCTCCCAGCAACTTCACAAACCTGGACTCTTTAGAGAACGTCCATTCCCTCACTTTCATTTGACATTACTTTCTTAATGGGTGTCTCTTGGCAGAATTACACGTGAGTGATGGCTGGTATTATGAAACATTATCAGATCTCATTGATAAATGTCCTACATCCACCATAACCTAAGTCGGAGGAAGTGTGAGAGCAATCAGACTGGAGGAGGCAGATTGTGAATGTTCCTCACGTTATCAAACGCGCTCATTGTTTTCTATCTTTTTCATTGTTCTCTGTGAGGTTTTCTATTAGCATCAACTTGTCTGTTCTGCTGAATGCTTTGGAATACAGACGTATCACTTAAATATTGGATTCGCCCACGTCTGGGATCTGAGTTGTGTCTCACGTTGAAAGAACAGGCGAGAGAGAGAGAGAGAGAGAGAGAGAGAGGGGAGGTGGGATCCTTGAATAAATTGCTATCAGTTTGTCTCATTTACGGGGCAATCAGAAGCGTGCAATGCAGGCTGAAATTGAATTTTAGTAGTTGTGAAGCATCATCAATCAAAACAGTGTGAGTGTCTTAAGGTGAGAAATCATTTTGGCCAACATGGAACGTGTAGGATGTTCAAGGGAGAAACTGTAGCTGCGCCATTATTTCCAATGTGGCACCACAGTGCTCAGTAAGTCTCCTCTGCTCGGCTGCTGAAGTGGCAGAAAATCACAGAACTATTTACAACCTCAACTTCCTCCTTATGATTAGAAAAGGCTAAATAGTGAACTATATTTGCACAGGGCCTGATCTTACACCTCAAAGAGTGACACTTTATCCAGCGGCCATATTGATATAATAGTAAAATGCCCATTGCATCCCTCTGAATGCTCAGGGGCGTAAATCAATTTATCAACAACAACCTGCTCTGAAATCAGTGGCTCAGTATTTTTTTAAGGGCAGATCATCAAAATAATTACAATAGAACAGCACATGAGCAACACAGTGTCATAATGAAGCAATAAAATGTTCTCATGATCACTTTAGAGATCTTTAACTTGGTGTTATGCTCCGTGGCTGCATTGTATAGCTGTGTGCGGTGCTGTTTGCCTATAGGTGAAGCAGGAAGTGACATATAAACTCTGCTGCGGAGATAACGTGATTTCCTTCTCACCACAAACTTTCCAGACATCTTCGTCTGTGTCTTCTGTGTGTGTCCCGCGATAGAAGCGTCATCAACCACATCCCTCCACCAAGTTTTTGTGGAAATCTGTTCAGTAGTTTTTGCGTATTCTTGATGACTCACAGACGGACAAACAGCGTAGGTAATAAATATGTGCCTCCATTAACCGCCTGTTCACCTGCTCCACTGCTCCACCTCAGGGAGCTTTGGTGGAATCCTTTCATCCCGGGAAATCTGCCTTTAGAATTGCAACCTGCTATGGAGCAAGTGCAACTAAACCAACATGAGTGGATTTGGACACACCCTAAATGCACTTTCTCTCCCTGTGCTTCAGACAGCACCATAAATTGTTTAAACACAGCCTATCTTGCATTGGCTTAAAAAAAAAAAAAGAACTGTTTCATCAATGTGAAGCCAAATTTATTTTAAATCCATTTTAAAAGCTGGATTTGGATCGTTATGAATCCTCTGTGACGTCTGCACCTCCACCGAGGATATGCACAATGGACACAGTCCCTAATATCCTATGCACTGTCAGAGCTGTGTGCTGTAATGAACTTCTCATGTGCTTAAAGAATGATGCAGGATGCATGGCGAGACAACTGACAGCCCCGTAATGTGTTTCCCAGCAGCCACCCGGCGACGAGCTCTCTCGGTGTGTCGCTCGCCATAAACCCACTGGAAAATCGATGGCCGATAAAGAGTTGTGTTCAGGGGGAGCCCCCTCTGATTAATGCAGACTGTCAGGGAGCATCATTAATGTATTTCTCTTTTAAAGAAAGTGTATCAAATACTCATTGTTTTTGGTGGGTTCCAGAGAGGGAGGAGCAGGAACGGAGGGAAGTTGTGTCGAGAGGCTCCTTCCCTGAGTCTTAGATATTTATGGATGAAGATATTTACATGTGCGAAGGTCACAGAAATCAGGGAGAAAACAGGAGCCGAGTGTTTGTCTCAATGCTTCTAATGTAAAGCAGGTGTTAAGGTCTTGATTTACATCTGTATCGCACAATGTGATTTGATGCAATTTGAGATAGAGACGTCACATTTAACCAAATCTCATCGTTTTTGAACAAAACTAGAAGATAACAGACAAAAGGAAGCAGGGCGTGCACTTTCGAGCTATGAACTCACTCATATAACTGAGGGTGGTTAAGTTTGTTTTTGCAATTTTTAATTAAATTGGAAGAATTGAATAATACATTTTGCTGAAATTTAGTTTTATTTCTCAGTTTAAAGTGGTTAAAGGGGTCCTCCACTGGATTGTATCAGTCATTAGAGGAAGAAACTAAATTTCATGTTTAGAGGAAGGGAATCCATAAATTTAAAAGGATGATGATAATGTTAATGATAATATTTTAGACACACAGTAGTCGAAGACATTACAATTACAAGTTTAATTAAATAGTCTGGATCACAGATTGAATTTGCACATAATGTTTGTGTAAATGTTTTCACAATCGTTAATACATCAGTCAAATCCCTGTTTAAAATTAAATTTATTGCCATTCTGCTTAAATACACAAAACAAACAACAGCATCCTCACACTACGATGGTGCTTAACTGAAACTGCAGTGTAATACTGTGAGAATAATAGAAGGTTGAAGAGTAGTTAGTTAACCAGCGTGCTTCAGCTCAACATCTTCATCTGAATAACTAATAAACCAGCTGCTGACAGACCCGTTCTTTTACTGTATGAAGACGAGGAGGAGCATCATACGATCAAGCTGCTTTCAGACATGCACTGAAGTCTGGACGTTCTCCTGAAATGATCCGTCTGGGCTGTATGTGGGAACGCAAATGTCCCACGTCAGTTGCTCCAGATATTCTCATCAGTTCTTCCTGCCGGGGCCTCTGGGTAAATGTCCGCAAAAACATGCAAGCGTGAGAATACAGCCGCAAAACAGGAGACGGACGCAAAGCTGAAAAAAACCAACAAAAATAATAACCTCAGAGGTGTAATGTGCGTAGAAGACACTGAAGATGTCAACTTGGAAAGACAATGAGAGTCAAGAGCTTTTTAACGATAAGGGCTGACATTGGCTGATATGCTATATTAAAAAAAAGTGTTTTCTGTAGTGGAGTTTCTACGTCCGGTCCTTCTGCATGACCTGCTGCTTTCTTCATATTTGTAAAAGAAAAATCAAGAAAATGTCTAGACCCAATTTTCTGTTCATAACGTTCAATTGGGGTCGATGGAAAAGGTCTTCAAGCGTGAGTCGCTACGAAGGTTTTCAAGGT